CAAAAGACTAGAAAACAAGAATGTAAAAAATAAAAACTTACAAAATTTTACAATAAATAAATACTTCTATTAGAATTAGAACTGAATAACAAATGACTTCCATAAACACTACAGACTAGAATATAAATATAGAAAATATAAAATGCAAAGTAAAAAATAAAAATTGTAAAATAACTATTTATATATGAATTTTAATTTTATAATAAATATTTTAAAAATTGCTTGAATACAAATGATAGAAAGTAAATATAAAAATGAAATAACTAAACATTTTTACAATATTTAATAAACATATGACTAGAAAAAATATAATAAATATAAAAAGTAGGTAACAATTTTTTTTAAATAAATGTTTGTATTATAATTAGATTTAATTTATTTAATTTCATTTAAAATCGATCTGAGTTTTTATTAATTTTTTTTTTTATATAAAATGTATTTAGTTATTTGCTTATTTAATTAAGATTCAATATTTAAATAAATTCTGTAATTTATTTTATTGAATGGCATTGCTCATTTTATTAATTGTTATGACTTTTGTTATTGTTATGACCCTTTAAATTGAAAAGCAAATTTATTATTACCATCATTCTCTATACACTCAAATACTTTTAAAGATATTTAACGTAAGTTTATTATTGAATATATATTTAATCAAATAAAAAACGTTTCGTTTATATAGTTTTATATGCCTATTATAAACTAGTTCTAGCATTCATTCTATTCTCGTACTATATCAAACATTTTTCGTGGCATACTTTTAGCAAGTTGAAAATCAACTAACTTTCTACAAGTTTGCTTGGCTCTCTTAAATATTAAAAGCTCTTCAAGGTATGCAACTGGAAAGCAAATTTAATTAGAATCATACGGACAAAGTAAGCATTGTTTTGCAAATGAAGCAACATATTTATTAAATATGCAATTTCAATGCATTATTGTTAATTGGTTATACTATTAAATTAGTTATCAAGAATGCATTACCTAGCTGAGCTTTACATATGACATAGTGCAAAGACCCAGCAATAAATTGTCGTCCACCAAAGGGGCAAAACAGGACTCGAGTGCACTTCGGTGCCCAGGCTCGGCTACCCCAAATGCATTTTCATTAGCCCAGTGGCTGGGGCCAAACGTGGCGCCTCAGTGGGCGCCGTGTGCCCAAAAGCAATTATGGCAAATGGTTTCAGCTGCTTTTAGATATGGAACGGCAGTGCGAGTCAGTCAGTCAGTCAGTCAGTCAGCTGGTCATTATGGCTTCAAATCCAATTTCAAAGTGTTGAGCACTGAAAACAGAAAACTGAGCACAGAAGCTGACGATGACGTTGACAGCGTCACAGCTGAAAGGGCAAAGGTGGCTGGATAGTGAACAGCCAGGGAATATTGTAAACTGAGCTGGATTACTTCGCTCAGTGCCAACTGTTAGCAGATTAGAATTCTGTGCAGACCCGAGCATAAATAACATCAGTAATCAATATTGATAAGGGCTTATCGCCATATGGACACAAATATTTGTTGTCAGTGATAGATAGCACTTGATATGAAAAAAAGAGCTATCGATGCATAAAATAAAAGTAATTACCATTAAAGAGATAAAGAGACACAGAGAGAGAGAGAGAGAGAGAGAGAGAGAGAGAGAGGGAGAGCGTCAGACAGAAACAAAGGCTTGTAATTATGAAATTCAATGGGGCATACAAATATTTCATTTTATCGCACGAGAGAAATGCCAGGATGCAATAAATACAGGTGGAATGCAATAATTATTCGCTCTTAATTAAAAATACATAATTAATTGAGCACACTTGAAGATACGCGAATTCAAGTGATATATGATAACTTGATATGTGAAGAGAAACTGTGATGGAGATATAGACATAAATAAAGAAAAATAATATATATAAATATATTTAAATAAATATATATATATACATAACTGTATATAAAGAGAAATATTTAAAAAAATAAAATTATTGAAAGCAAAAAGTTAGAGCTGCGATAAAAAAAATATATAAATATATATATCTAAATATTTAATATAATATAAAATATATTAATATATAATATATGTATATGTATAAATATAAATATGTATATGTAAGTAAAATGATCGATTATTATCGATAGTAAAGAAATAACTTAGCTCGGCTTGATTAAGCATATTATCCCATTTGCATTGCCTTTATAAAGACATCTATTATATATATTATAAATACCTTCAAAGATTCTCTAATATATTATATTCAACTAAAATGTGAATTTTAGTCAGCTTCAAAAATATACAAAAATTAAATATCTTTCCCACACAGCTCCACAACTGAAGCCCGTTAAAAGCTTATCCGAAAATTGATAATTTGTTGAGTTTGAACAGTCAGCCTGACGCAATCCTGAAATTTATAACACTACAAGCAATGTACCATAAATACCTCCGGTAAAAAAAAAAAAAAACACAGTAAAAGCCTAACACAACAGTGGTAACATTACCTATATCTATGTTGCAATAAAAACATTGAAAAAAAAAATAATAATAATAACAATTTCACATAAAACAAAATTTCAATTATTGATTAGATAATTTTATATAAAAAATATATAGGTTTTTATGCTCATGCTCTTGCACGTTCGCTCCACTGTATAATATGCAAATTCAATTCGTTTGGCTGCAAACATTTTTGATTAATATTTCTGGCCAGAAGGATATGGCCAAAAAGCCCTCGAAATGCTGAACCACAGCACATGCAAGCAATCTGCATTTCGTAGCGCATTTTGGTATGCAAATTCTTGTTGGTGCCGCAATGCCAATACAGGTGCCAATATTTGTCAGTTTTTGTTTAATTAAAACATTGCACCAATATTTTATTTGCCCTCTGCAGCTCATTGGATTCGATTTTGGGTTTCGCACTATTTTTATTATTTTGTTGTTGCTTCTGTTAAACAAATGCAAATCCAATGCACATAAAATATTTAAGCCCAACAATTACGTATATGGATAATATACATATATACATATATATATATATATATATAAATGTGTGTGCATCGTATACGTGATATTTGGTTTTATGCACCTGGCGTATACGCAATATGGGTTTATATGCAATTTTTGGCTATTTCGGTACCTTTTACAATTTGTATTTCGTTGCGTGGCAATTGTTCTACATTTTATTTATATTATTTGGCATTGTGCGCGGCTAAATGAAAATAATTCGCGTATATGTTTTTCATAAATTTTGCATATTTTTTTTTTGTTTATTTACTCTTTTTTTTTTTTTTCATAATTATAATTCAATAGAATTGTTTGTCGATTCTGTAAATGGAAAATTTATATAACGATTTGCAATTTAGAATGCTAAAGGGGCAACGATATTATGGGCAAAAAAGGAAATGTTTTTCACAAATATAATACGATCTCATATAAGGGAAAACTTTATGAATATTTGCATTTTAGCATCGACCTGCACTTTGCCAGTTCGGTTTCATTTGCAGCTGCAGGCCATAAGTCCACAAAGTCCATTAGTGGCATTTTGCATATGCCAAGGGCAAACACAGCCCAACTGGGCGTTGGACTAGGGCAGTGAAATTTTGCGTACCACACCGAGCTTGAAATTTCAGATTGTGGCTTGGCCAGGAGGAAGGGAGAGAGAGACTGACTCTATATGTATGTGTGTATGTGTGCAGCGTGCGACCAATAATTGGATGCCTTCTACTGCTAACGGACTGTCGAGAGTTGTCAAAAATCAGCCAGACTAGGCAAACTATTTCAACTGTCCAAAACAGTTGGCTGATGCTGCCAGCCGCAGTGACCGCTACTAAATGCTAATAGAACACTGATAGGCAAACAACAGAGTAGAGCCTCAGCCTCTGGCTAGATTTGCCTGGCAATGCAGTCGATATGTGGACCAAGTTGAAGCCTGAAGTGTTTGGGAAATCGAACAATAATTGCAACATCAATTGCAATTAATGTGAAAATCAACCAAGAGGTTAAAGATGTGATGCTTAAAAGTGAATGGAAAGAGATGTAACTTAAGGGAAATACATATACTCAATACTTCTAAGTTAAGGAAAAACTTTATGCCCTTAAATTAAAAGCCCTATTAGCTTTCTAGCCTCGGGAATTATATTGGAAATAAACATAATATCAAAGTGAGAGCTAGATGCATACTAATTTTTATTCTATGACTATAAATATTATACAGATATTTCGGCAGAATTTATAGTATCTAAAATGGTATAAAATGCATAATATAATGCAAAATCATTTCTAAATCAAGGTATCACAAAAAATTACAGTGAATATTTATAATTTTAGAAACTAAATTTAAAGTAGAAGATGTCTTATAGCTCAATGGATCTTATGGCAAAATAGGCTTAAAGGCTCAATGGATCATACGATCTATTAAGTCTTATGACTAGGAAAAAAACAAGACGAATTGACTCAGTTGCATAGAAACAAACAGAGTTTGCACTAAAAGAAACACTTGTTCATGATTAGGAATATATACGTATATATAAATATATATTATGTACATTATGTACTTAAATAGACAGATATGGCTAAACAGAGTCGAAAGTGAATGCTAATCTGGAATATACATATATATATATATATATATATATATATATATATATGTACTATATTTGAAAGTATAGGCGTGTATTTATTTTATTAACTCAGCAAACTTGAGTTCTTATCAACAATAACACAAGATAAACACATAAAGAGTAAGCAAATGCATTTCAAGAAGTCAACTTTTACTCTCACTAATTTCATTTCAAATGGCTTAAACTAAATTTTTTCAGCTTTATGGACAGAATGTAATCTGTAAAAATAGTATACAATGCTCTATAACACTTTCAACTAGACTTTCATTCGAGTCGACTCTTTCGCATTCACCAAATCAATGTTCACACACATACGCACACACACACGCGCCCGTTAGCAAAAGAGATTTAGCTCTCCATTTGGCTAACTCCCGCTCTAATGCCTGGCACTTAACCTGAGCACTCACCTGTTTCGTGTTCACTATCGAGCGTCAACGTTGTTGACACATCGTTCTCCACATGCTGTGCGTTGTCTCCATTTGGTCTATTGTCGCTGCTCTCGTTGTGCTCGTCCCTGTCGCTGGCATGCCCATTGATGACCTCAATGACACTTTTAACCGAATCTAGCGATGACGTCGCCGATACCAAAATTGGCGTTGTTATGGGCGTGGCAACCGACGACGACGATGACGATGCTGTTGATGTCATCGATGAGCTGGCACTGAGCACATTGCCGCCAGTGGGCTCAGTCAGGGATTCCCCACTTTGACCCACAACCTCGCGCTGCTTCTCTGCATTCGGCAGTTGATGGCTCTCAAAGTGCAGATCATCGTGCAGCAGGTCAACAGCTTGGGCGACCAGATTCTCGTTGACAGCCTTGGGCGGCTCATTGGGCAAATCCACGCTGGCCAAATTGATAATTGAGCTGCTCTGCTTCGCCTGCTCCACGCCCACAATGATGCGCTCTAACGGCTTGGGCGGCGGCTCGAGGCTGCTGCGTCGCTGTGTCGGCTTTGGCTTAGCACTCAAACCCACTTCACTCCGCTTGCTGGGCACTGGCGGTGGCGCCGTCTTGGGCTTCACCACAGCCGGCGTCATCTTGGGCTTGCTGCTGGGCACTGGCGGCTTCGGCTTGGGCACAGGCACGGGCACCGGCTTGGGCGCCACCTTAGGCGTCGCTGCTTTGTGGAGTGCTGCTGGCTTTGGTGCTGGTGCATCGATGATGTTCTTATGCAGCACATAGCCCAGATCATCCTCAACTGCAGGTGGTTGCTTTATGGTTTCGATCAGCTTCGGCTGCTCCTTTGGCTGCTCGTTGGGAGTCTGAACTGGAGACTTGACTTGCTTCTCAATGGGAGTCTTGACTTGCCTCTCGGCTGCAACCTTGACTTGCTGCTCGACAGGAATCTTGACTTGTAGCTCGACTGTAGTCTTGGCTGGCTGCTCAATGGAAGTCTCAACTTGCTGCTCGACTGTTGTCTTGGCTGGCTGCTCGACAGGAGCTTTGCATTGCCTCTCAGCTGCAATCTGCTGCTCCAAAGGAAGCTCGACAGGAATCTCGACTAACTGCTGAACAGGACTCTTGACTTGTTGCTCCACTGTAGTCTTGATCTCTTTAACAACTGGGATTTCAACCTGCAGCTTGGCAGCTGATGCATCAACCAACTGCTCTACTGATGCCTTAGTCTCCTGCTTCACTGCAAGCTCCACCAACAGTTCAGCCTGGTTTTTCACAGACTCTGCCGCCTGCACCTCTAGCTGCTGCTCCACTCTCTCCACTGGCTGCTCCACCAGCGGCTCTGTCAGCTGCTCAGCCTTTGGCTCGGCCTGTGGCTCCACCTGCTCAAAGGCGCTCAGGTCAAAGCCCTGCTCATCATCAGCCAGCTGCAGATTGTACAGCTTCTCCGTCTCCTTCTTGACTTTCTGATAGCTCTCGATGATCTTCTGCGCCTCCTGCTCCAGGCGACGCTCCTCGTCCGTCTTCTTCAGCAGCTTGGCGCCCTTCTTGCTGGGCGTGTCTTTGCTTTGCTCTAGCCGCTTGGTCACCTGCTTCTCGCCATCCTTGCTGACCGTCAGAGTCTCGCTGAACTCACGCTCGAGCGTCGGCTGCGCCTCCGTGTCGACGGGCAGATCGTTCAGCAGCTGCTGACCCTCCAAGTAGGTTTGCTGCTCGGTCTGCTCGCACTCGATATAGCTGCTGATGCCGCCGTTCTCGGACAGCTGCAGCTGCTTGCCACATTCGGATAAGGTCAAAATACCCGTTTCAATACTCTGTTTATCCTGTGGATTGTCCAGGCGCTCCTTTAGACACGTCTCCGCCGAGACGGTGGCAGTCAACGGCTGCAGCTGCTCGACATCGGCCAGGTCGAGCAGATTGTCGTTGCTGCTGATTTTCTTGAAGCGCGCACTACTCGACTTCGACTCGGCGCTAGTCAACAGCTGCTCCTCGCCAGTCAGTGCATCCTTGGTCCTCAGCTCGCTCAGCGTTTGCTGTTCGCTAACCACGCGACGTTCTTCGTGTACGGTTGTCGTTATAGCCGGCTGCGTCTCCTCCCGCTCCTCGTAGGGCTGCAGCTTGAAGGAAATGTCCGCCAGGGGAGTCGTAAAGACATTGGCGGTGCTGGACGAGCTTAGGCTACTGCTGCTTGTGGTGCTGCTAGTCTTCTTGGTGGTTACCACTTTGGTGGTTATTGTGCGTTGGGTCTTGCTGGAGCTCTTCTGGCTGCTGCTGCTGCTGCTGAGGCTTTCGCTGGTTTCCTCCGTGCTGCTGGTTGTGGTCTTAGCGGTGCTAGCGGTGCTACTTTCCACAAACTGCTCGGTGGCCTTATCGTCCGCTGCTTTCTCATGCACAGCAATCTTATCATTGTTTTGGACTTCACCCAGCTCCACTTGCGTCTGCTCCACTTGGGCTTCCATTTTGGCAGTTGCCTTTTCTGGCGCTACGTAATGCGGCAACTTCTTTAGCTCCTCGGCAATCGCACTCGGATGGCTGTTTGGTTAGACGAGTGTACAACACATGGAGTAATTAGAATGATTGTCTCTTATCAAACAACAGAAATCTATATTTATATACTATGCATGCATGTTAATTGAACCGCCTCGCACCTGTCGGGAACAGTAAACGGAAATTTGCCGTCGTTTCGATCGCTGCGCAAAATATTTAGAGAGAAAAATGCGCGTTCGCACTGAGTGCCCCGAAAATCTATGCCTTTCGCCTTTCGAAATAGAACTAATTGACTCGAACGTTGAGTCGAATGCCATTTGCCATTAGCTTTTATCAGTTACGTAGACGAATTTCCAGGCCTTTATCAGTGCGCTTTGCGCTTTACACTCTGTGCTCCGAGCTCTGAGCTCTTTGCTGTTGTAAACACACCGGCATTTCTTCTTATCAAACCCATAAACGAGCCCTAGCTCGCTGTGCTATGTGTGAAAGTTCCTGCTATTATTATTATTCTACCTTTATCGCAACTATTTACAAATGTCCAAAAAAAACGAACAAATTTTTGCAACTTTTTTTTTTTTTTTTTGCCAACTGGAAGGCCTTATCTAGGCAAATAGTATGACTAGCCGAATTGCGCAAGATATTACGCCTACGAATGGCTTCTACAATAACTTTCATTGTTTTATGCAATGACAAATATCAAATACTCTTGCATACAATAGGGTTATCTACTTTTCTGGCCAGCTTGTGATAATGATAATGATAATGATAATGATAATGATAATGCGCAGGCTTTCCCTTTTCTTTGCCAACTGAATGAATTAATAAGTACAGTAGGCGACAAAACTTTCCACAAATTCCTGCTCCAATTCCATAAATGTTATATGATTTCTATTGAGTTGAATTTGATATATTTTCTGTCTTAAGAGACATCTCCTTTAACTATCAGTTCTTTTATTTCTTTTGATACACTCCCAATTCATATAGCCGCTCTAGACCTCCTCTTTAAGCCACCCTCTCTCTCTTTTTCTCTCTCTCCTTCTTGATTATTTAAATACGCTCGAATTCCATAACCTTCTCTAGAGTCTATTCCAATACCTTCGCTCTCTGATAAACCCATTCACCCTCTTTTCATTCTCTTGATAGACTCTCACTTCATACACCTTCTCTAGACTCTACTTCAATCCCATCAGTATCTAACCCTTTACCTTCTCTCTCTTTACCTCTTTTGATTCTTTAGATACACTCCAATTCCATATACCTTCTCTAAAATCTATTCTAATGCCTTCATTATCTAATTAACCCCTCCATCCACTGTTGATTCTCTTGATACACTCTTACTTCATACATCTTCTCTAGACTCTACTCGAGGCTAGACTACCCTTAAAGAGCTCCCTCTCCCTCTCTCAATTCTCTTGACAAACTCCTCTTCCATCAGTTCCTCTATACCCTAACCCACTACCTTCACAACCCATCCACCTCTCTCTATCCCAACAACTCACCCATTTGTCAAGGATTGCGGCTCCAGCGAGGAGAACTCTTCCTCCACCTCTCCAATGGTGGGCAACATATTCGAATGCCAGTACATATTGAAGTATGCCTCGGAGGGTCCTGGTCCATTGATCAGTTCCGGTGGACCCAGTTTCTCGCCATCTTCACAGATATACTCGCGCTCAGCGGCATCTACGTCATCCTGCTCGCCATCATCCTCGTCGCTGCTGGAGCTTGAATAGCATGTTGTGCTTTGAGTGTCGTCCACAATTTTTGTGCACTTGCCCACGATTAAGGGCGGCGGCGATTCCCTAGCGAGATCATCCGCCTCGGCAGCTGCTGCTGCCAAGAGAGCTGCAATATCACGTTGAGGCTTAGGCGATGTGTCCGGCTTTTCGGCTGCCTCCTGCTTGTGCACCAGATCGAACAGACTGGGCAGCTTGTCCTCATCCTGAGTCTTGCTCTCGTACGTTTGGATCTTGAAGCGTATCTCACGATTGCTCGTGGGTGATGGTGTGTTCATGGGCGTGGCAGGCGGTGTGCCGGTCGTGGACTGCCTAAAGGTCTGCATGCTCAGCTTCGGCTGCTGCTGCGGCGGCGTCGTTGGCAGCGACTGCAACTTGGGGATTTGCGTCTTCTGTAGCGACTGCACGCGCTCGGGAGGCTTCGGCTTGGGTCCCTTCGGGGAACGACCATTGCTGCCATTGCTGCAGATGGAGCTCAGCGACTCTGTGGAGTTGGAGCTGCTCCTCGTGCCACTGTTGAGCAGAACAGGTATGAACGTGCGCTCAGGTGTTGTGCGTGCTGGCGCTTCTGCAGAGTTGGCCCGCTGCAATGGGGCACGCAGATGTCCTGGGCCGGGACTCAGGTCCTTGGACTTGCTGCGATAGAAGCCGAGCTTCAGATCTGTTTCCGACTTTTGCTTCTGCAACAGGCGAGGAATGTTGGAGTTGACAGCCAGCGGCGATGTCGGCGACAGGGCAATCATTGATGTTGTCATCGATTTGTTAGCTGGCGGGGATTTGTTCTGCACGGGTGTTGTGACAATGGGTATGCGTGATTTGAGCTGCGGCGACTGTTGCTTAGCGGGCTGCAGATGCAGCCTGATCTCGCCCTCGGTCTTGGCGCGTGAGAAGCCCGGACTGACTATGGAACTCACGTGCTTGGCCTTGGGTATCTTCGTTTGCTCCTTTTTGATCTCCTTGACCGGCTCAGTGGTGGGCGTTGTGGGTGTGTCTGTGGGTATACGAGGCGGCGCCACCTCGATGGGCAGCTTGCTGGGCGTGGCGATCTTACGTGGCATCGGTATAATGGAACGCTTCTTGGGCTCCACAGTAGCCAGCAGCACGCGCGGCTTAGGCGTTGGCGTGCTCAGCGGACTCTTCAGCTCCACATTTTCATAGTCATTGACTTTCTCCGTCTTGAACTCAATGTTCTCGTAATTATTGCCCGGTATGATTAGCTTGGGCTGACTCAACGTTTGCTCCAGCTGGAACTCCTCCTCGAGCAGGGTGAACGGCTGCACCAGCTTGGCCAGCTCGGGGCCATTCAGGCTGCTGGTCAACTCGGTGTCCGATGAGTAATTGGAGCCCATGGAGAGCTTATCGATAACGGTGGATATGGTGCTCGCAGTGTCATCGGACTCGGAGCCCGCTTTCAAGGACTCGGCAAAGAGATTGATATAGTACTCGGCATCCGGCGGCGGTGTCAGCGGCTTCTCCACCACAAGCTGCACTGTGGCCGGCCCCTCCTTGGAGTTCTGTCGCTTCACCAGCTTGCGTGGCGGCACTGGCGGCGGCGGCGGTGGCTGGGCATTGAGCGAAATGGACACCTCCGATTGATGCTCATCCTCGCTGGGCGGCTTCTGGCCATGGCCGTTGCGCACCACCAGATGTATGGCCACACTATCCTTGAGGCAGCGCACGCACTCGATGCGCGTCATTTGCGAGACCTGATGGCCATCAATGCTTTGGATTTCGTCGCCCTCGCGCAAATGGCCCCAACTGGTGGCCACCTTGGAGGCGGGACTGTCGGCGGCGCACGATTGTATGAACAGCTTCTGCACCAGTTCCGTGTTGCGGGTGCCACCTTGAAATTTAAGGCCGAAGCCCAGGCGTTCGCCTGGCAAACGATAGACGGTCACATGCTCCGCCTGATCTGTCTCTGTTTGAATGTGCTGCTGCTGCAGTTGCTGCTGTTGTTGTTGCTGTTGCTGCTGCAACAGCTGTTGCTGTTCGTTGATCGTCAGCACGGTAATAAATGAGGAGTCTTCGGCGACGGAACTTTGCCGTTTGACTAGCTTCTTCAAATGGTTTGTGTCTTTGGTGGACGATGTGGGGTCGTCGACTTCAACAACGGTTATGTAATCATCGTCCGCTGCTGCTGTTGGGTTTGTGTCTTTGCTTTGCGACATTGTCGTTGCTGTGGAGGCCATGCTGAACTGCTAAGCTTTAGGCATGCGGCGCTGTTGATCTTTTAGCTTTATGCATGCGCTAGATGTGTTATTCTGATAGATGGTTCTGGCATGCGCTAAATGCGCGTTGGTGAATTACGTGGTTGGTTGTTGGCAGAGCTAAGCTTTTGTGATCTTGGGTTGTGCGGTTGATGTCCAAGTTGAGTTTAGTTGATCGAAGTGAAATTTGTGCTGTAAAAGGAAACAAATAAAGAACAAATAATATAAATTAATAAATTAAATTAAATTAAATTAACAGAATTAAAATAATTTAAAAATAATAAAAATATTAAACTAATTATCTGTATAAAAATATAAAAATATATAAACAAGATTAGTAATAATTAAATAAATTACAATACACAAAAAATAAAGAAATATAAATTACAAATTTTAATAAAAGAAAGTAAATCACAAAAGAGAAAAAATAAAGAACTATGCAAAACATTAAACAGTTAATTGAAAAGAATTAATTTAAATAACAGTAGAACAAAACTAAATTTCAAATATTAATACATAAAAGCTCAAGACAAATATAAAAAAAAAAACAGGGTATAAAAAAAATATATATATATATTGATTATTAATATATAAATAACAATATTCAAAGTAAATAAGCAGTTAAACTTACATTACAAATATTAATAAATTATCATTTGATTACATTTACTATGTTTAGAAAGTCTTTCAAATATAATTTCATATAAATAATACATCAAATATAAAATTTAAATTTTAAATTTACTTTCAGCTATGCAAAATGTTTCTTTTATGCTGAAAACCGTTTTAATTAATTGACTCCAGTGGAGCTGCTGTGCAGGCGTCTTTTGTATCTCCATTTACTAATAATGCTTTTCATAGTCAAAATACAAATTCAATCATCAAATTGCTTTTGATTTCAAACTATCCATGAGTTTAGCCATAACCAGAAAGACAGATAGACAGACGGACAGACTTACAGGCGATTAACTTGCTTCACAAAAACTTTCAAATGCATTTCATTTCGACACCGAAATCCCACAATAAGTTGCCAAAAAACAAACAGGAAAAAAAACTGTTCCCAGTTAAAAACTCTTTTGGCATCTTTCTCTCTCTCTCTCCCCCTCGTTGTCTCTTCAGCTCGGGCCGCAGCAGCCTTCAGCCAAAACTATTTCCTTCCTGCACACGACACAAGACAACAACAACAACGAGACAGAAACTGGCAAACTTTTGTTGCTACCGCAACTTCAACTGGGCGAGTGCAAAAAAAACCCAACAACAACAAAAACAGCAGCAAAAAAAGCACACTTCAGGCTTACAATTTATGTCAACTTTCTTTTTTATCAAACAAAAAGAAAGAATTAAGGAAAAAATACAACAAAATAAATTCCAAAGATTTTTCAAAGTAACCGCAAAATGTGGCAAGCGACTCCCACACGAAAACTTGCCCAGTCAGTCAGGTGGGTTGGGCCGAAGATGCGCGATTCAACAGATGATTTTTTTTATGTTGTCTTTGGTTTTGGATTTTTTAAGCAACGGGTTTTTTTCTAACCCCCCTCGAAGTTGCAGCGCGTTGCTGCAAGAAAGTTGCCAAGTTGCCAAATTATGTTGCGGTTCTTCTTCTTCTTCCTCGGCTGCTGCTGCTGGTGCTGCTGCAGCTGCCAATGGCACAAATACATTTCGGCATGGCCATCGAAATAACGCATCCCAACGAGCCGGCCAAACAGGTGACCAGCACCAGCACCACTGACACCACCAGTCCGTGCAGTTCTTAAACTTGTTTCGATCACTTCACTCAATTTTGAATACCCTAACGTGGGCATGTCAAATCAATGCGAGAGAAAAAAAAATGTGTAGAGATAATATTGCCTAATTTGTAAAAAATTTAAGAAATATATATATTTGTTCTATAACTAATATAAACTTAATAAATTTAAAAAAAAAATGTTTTTTTTTTTCAATATATATTTTTATAATATAATTATTAGTTTTCCATTTTATTAAAACTATAAGATTAAATATAAATAGAAATACATATATGCAGATAATGGTTTTCATTAATATTTTATCATAAAATTAACTAATGAGCCACATTAAAAAACACAAAAAATTTCCTAAAATAATTTAAATATTTGTATGTAGCTGTAGTTATATTTTTTTAACATTTTCATCATAAATAATTTTTATTTAATCTTAATTTTGTGTACAATTTTCAATTATCAATTGATTTAATAATTTAACTATATTAAATATTATTTTTGCTAAAAATAAGTAATAATAATAAAAATAATACGCATACGTATACGTACAAATATACGTATAAATATAATTTCATGTTAGCAAACAAACTAAATTAATTAAATAGTTTAAAACAACTCGACGAAAAAAGGATAATTAAAATTCAAAATTCTTATAATTCAACTTCATAGTTTAATTCTTAATATTACCAAGAGCCAATGGGCATAATAAATTTTAGGAAAGTTTTAAGAGTATAATTTTAATGCATTTAATTTATTTTTCATAGAAATATTTAACTTTTGGTTTACATCTACATTCATAGCTAATATTTATAAGCCAATTATGAGCAGTGTATTTAAGCTTCGTTGTGGTTCACGCTGCATCATTCAGGCATGTTGTCTTTTATATTTCTTTTTTTTTTGACTTTTCTGGACGCCTCTTTTATAACTGTTGTTTTGGCCAAGTTTGGGGCTGAGACTGACGCTGCGACTGAGACTGAAGCTAACTAAGGCTGTGCCCGGTAATTACGAAGCTGAGCTCGCGCTTGCGGCCCGGCTCGGCCCGGCCCCGTACATCACAAATTTGAAATCAGTTTCATTATATAAATTGTTACCTTTAGACGAACGAATGTGGCAGACACGCTTGAAACGTGGGGATTAGCGAGAGAAAGATGCGAGAGAGTGCAGAAAAACGGATCTGATTCGCTTCATTGGCCTCACATTTCTAGAGCTGTGAAATATTTGCTGTTGTAGCGACTTAAATTGGGCTTAAATTGCCACAATTTGTGGCGCATAATGTCAAAGTTAGTTGCAGCATTAAATAACAACAACAACAACAACAACAGCAGCAGCAACAATAAGAGAAAAAGTAGCTGCAAGCTATGCAATCGACTTCAATTAGAGTTGGCAAGCAAAAGGCTTCCGATAGACGCTCTCGTCAGCCAACTGTGTTGGCCAATGCATCTTTCTTGGGCGCCCGAACTGTGTCAGCCAGGAAGCCCCGCGACTTTGAGTGGCGTTCCCCAGTTTACAGTTTGTTTGCTTTCCATTGCAGCAACGGCCTCTGCCGCCATATTGCCAGCTAGCTAGCTCTGTCTGTCTGTCTGTCTCTCCTGTCTCCAGCAACAACAACAACAACAACTGTCCACATGCCCAGCTACGTCTCTGGCCACGTCTGCCTGGCAATCTAACCGTGTTGACTGACGGCTGCCGTCAAGAATTTTGGCGCTACAAAAGCGCATAAATAAAAATTGTTCAGCTCTGTTGACAGTGAGGCAGACAGCAACGACAAAAAAATGAAATAAAATAAGCAACAACAACAACTACGAAAACCAAAAAAAGCCATAAAAAAACTGTTGCAGCCTGTCAACTGTGCCATGGAGCGCCATTAGCCAGATGAGCCACGCAAAGGAACCAAAAAGGGAAACGTGTAAATTTCGCCAGAATTGCAATGGCTCTCAAAAATGTTGTAACTTTATATTTCAAAGGGAATTTTGGAGATATAGAGAGTGATAAGGCAGCAAATATGAAATGATATACATGATATAAATGATATCAGATAATTATAATATGATAAAGTAACAATCATGCTAAGAAATATCTATATGATATATAAGATAATTATGAGCTACATATAGAGATTATCTCTAGTATGAATGATTATATACATATGATAAAATATTAATAATGCTAAGAAATACATACATACAATGTATATAAATTATCCATTATATGAAAGGTTACATACATATGATAAAATAGTAATAATAATATGTAATGCTATCTATCTCTTAAACTATAAAAACCAATTACGACGAATCCTTCCTTTTTTAACTGAATAGCATTTAATTAAAAAAAAAAAATAATAATAATAATAATTGCTTGAAAATTATGAAAGAAATATTTCTTTCCTATATGCATTATTAAAGTAAAAAGCATTGACTTGAAAATATGTAGCCATAATTTTCAGCCTAGGCCTAAAAACGATGTAACTATATTATATTTATTTATTATATATTGATTATATATTGATTACATATCAAATGTCCATTTAAATACACAAAACTTAAGTTCTTAAATTTAATAGGAAACCAAATTTAAATCAAAATTGCAATTCAAAAATCTCTCTATGCATTTAAAAACGATATGAAGTGCTTTGCTAACACACACACACACATATGCATATTTAATAATATAAGTGTGTGTATTTGTGCATTTCACTTCCTTTTTAATTTCATTAGCAAGTTGAATGCTTGCCCAGCTAAAAAGCCACTTAGCAAAATATGCTTTAAATGCCTTAATTAAAACAATTTATGCAAATTTCAACAACAGCAATAATAATAACAAAAACTAAGTGCGGTTTAAAACAATGCAGCAGTAGCAGCAGCACTATCTACCCCTCTCGCTCTCACCACCTATGCTCAAAGCCACCTAACGCTTAAAAGCAACAGCTGCTGCACTGCTTTTACAACTGCTTTGCCGACGCGGTGCAAAAATTTCACACCATTTGCACTATGCAATTGACCAGCGCATAGCAAACTCTCCACACCTGCCACTTCCTTCTCTCCACTCAACGCTCCCCTTTCTACCTGCTCTCTCCCCCTGTCTCACTCTCTCCCCCTGCCCTGCTGCTCATTATGTGCGCAGCTTTACGCAAATTATGGGAAACTAACTCGCTAAGTTTTTGCTCTCCTTTTGGCCCGCAACGCTTTGTCTCTTTCGCACCAAGCCAATGTTAATGATAATTTGTTTTGCCTCAAACTTCCGTTCCCCGTTCACCTTATTCGCGAATGCATTTTAATTGCACTTTTTCCTGCTGCCGTCAACTAATAACTGGCAATTTATTAAAATGTTTGCGGTTTTGCCAGAAGCAATAGACATTGACAGAGAGAGAGAGAGAGCAACATAAGGAAAGAGAGAGAGAGTGGGAGAGCGAACGTTGCATTAAGCACTATTTGGCATAAGTTTTGTTCACAATTTTGATTAAAGAGCAGGCCTTCGCCTTGGCGTCTTGGCCAATGGTCAGCAAGGCGTGAAAATTTCTCTACCCAACTCGCCGGCGATTTATGTGAGAAATATGCTAAAATGCCAAACGAAGCGTGGCCCAGAGACGCCTACCAAAAAAGAAATAATCCAAAACTCAGAAAAAAAAATCTAATAAAAAACTGCACAAGCAACAAATCTGCCAGAGATGAGGGTCACACGAACAAACGAAGAACCAGTTTAACAAAAAGTGCTTTGAATTTTTAGCATTTCAGGTGAACTATAGACGTGTGTAGTATATATAGCAGAATCTAAGATTTATATGGGCATGATAAACCAATAGCTCTTCTAGTATGAAAGACTAAACAAAAACACATTTAAACAATGAACTGAATCAAATTATCGATTGCTATTGATAGTAAGGAAATGGCATTAATTATGAAGTATAATAATATAATTATAATAAATTCATACTGCGTATTTTAATAGAATTAGAATTTCAAAAATTTCTCCGTTTATAAAGACGAACAGATGAACTAAATTACATCGGCTCTTTGAATGTTTTAGGGAAACTCTTAGATGAGCAGTTAGGTCTAGAGATTTCTTACTTTATTATTTTTTGTTTAATATATCTTTCGACTCTGAATGTTTAGGGGATCTCTTAAATGAGCAGTTTAGCTTTCTTACTTAATTTTTTTTTTACATTTTTTTTATTTTGAATTCAATTTTGCATGAGAATAGTCAATTTAAACACAATTTAATAATTTTAAAAAATTCAGTAAGCTTTTTCAGGCTTTAGTTTTTTGCCCTGACCTGCAAAAATCTTTAGCTAATATGACATCAGCAAAGTAGTCAAAATTGTCTAAAACGTATAAAACGCTTTTTTGGGAACAACTCGAAAATTTCTACATTCTTTTTAATTAACTGAAATCAAAGTCTAACACCTACTCTTTTTTCTGTTTTAAATTGAATTTAAATTTAATTACACATTTTAACGCGTTTATTCCAATTTAAGATTTCAATTTAAGCTGCCAATATCATTAAAGAATCTGGTCCATTTCTTGTTTACCATAAATGTTTCAAATATTTTTTTTTTTTTTTTAGATATGTTCTTTAGCCATTTAAATACTTTTGGTAAAGAGAAGTTTAGTTTGACTATAAATTAATAATTAATACATGAAATTTATTAGACAAACTTTTAAACTTTCTTGTTGTAATGAAACGCTAATTATTTTAAATAAAGTCTAAAAAAAAAAAAGAAAAAGAAATGTCTCCTGAAATATAAGTAAAAAAGTCTTCTGCTTTATAATTTTTATATACCCCATCAGATATTTATAATTCCAAAGATCTTAATGAGATATGATTTTATATCATTAATAAAGTTTTTATAAAGTTTTGCAGCATTTTGTATTAAGAAGGCGAGCTATTCGCTTAAAAGTTATTACATGAACTAACTATTTTTTATTTATTACATTTATATAGCTTTTTGTTAATAATAAAAAAAAGCCTATTGTTTTCCAAGAATGTCCAAAATAATTAAACTATTAAATTCTTTGATATTAGAGTCTTTATTATTATTCAACAATATTATTAACAAAAATTAAACTCTACCAAATTTACATATATTTTCAAGCTTCGAGATTTTACTCAAAATTTAAATAAATGTATTCAATTTTTAACGAAATTAAATCCGATTTAAGCAAGTGACTGGGATAAGTATAGAGAACAGCTTACTGCCAAAGGATCGCAGTACAGTGAACACAGCTACGACGATTGGGAGCAATACATCGAAGCGAATTCACGAATTGACATGGGCAAAAAGAAGAAGCAAAGCAAACAACAAGCAAAGCAGAAAACAGAGAATAATGAGACGACGGCGACGACGCCGACCGCGAGGACGAGAACGATTGACGAGGAGACGGGCTGCCTAATGGATATCCTGCACCTGCACATGCTGCAACTAATCGAGGATCGGATAGGTTTGCAGCTCCAGCTGGAGACGCAAACGTCCAGAGCACGGCTCATGCTGGCCAAGACGCGACTGCAGCAGGGACGACCCCACTTGGCCACCGTCACGCGGCTCTCCAGCTCCAGTTCCAGTTCCAGCTTCAGCAGCAGCCCCTGCACGCCCTGTCGCGCGCTCTGTCGCCTGCTCGAACAAAGCATCGAATGGTGCAGCTCCTTCAAGCTGCTGCGACACAAGGTGAATCAGAAACTCGGCTTTCTGCATCCCATCAATCGCATCTTTGGCTCCCTGGTCCCATACAGCTTGCGGCTAGCGAGCGGCAACTGGGAACACTGTGTGGAGCTGATCGTGGAGAGCGCGAATATCCAGCGTGAATTGCAATCTGTAGTCAAAGCCATTGAACGATTCAATTGGGCGCTGCGCAGAAGGGGCTGCATCTGAGCGCCTTGGGGTAATAAGTTCAAAGTTGAGAATATAGGACGTGCCCATCCTAGCTTCCATTTTTACCAAATGGAGAGGGGGACACTCTCTTTTAAGGAAATGCACTTGTGTGAATATCTGAGTACATATGTATAAATAATATTACTTCTTATATATCTTAAGTTGCTTATAATTGGTTTTCCTTTTGAATCATTTATATACGTGAGCTGAAGCGTGAGAATTTCTGAGCCTTGGATAGCTCTCGAGACCCACACTCAATATACCAAGCAGAAATCACTCGCATATTTAAAATATAAGAATATTCCAGTGACGAAATATAAATATTTAAGATTTTATACAATAATTTTGAATATATGTTAAGCTTAAGCATCAACATAGGCTAGGCAGATATACATCCATTTGGTAGGATATATAAATCTGTATTATTATTATTTGCATTATTCATACTCTAAAAAATATACATATTTTTATAAATAAATATATAGGTAAAAAAAAATTGACATAAAAAAAAAATTGAGCTTGAATAACAGCAAATATTTTTGATTTTTGATTATATTAGAGAAATTATTTATTAAAAGATATAGTAAAAAAAAAAAAAAACATAAAAAATACATTAAATACACATATCGAAATAAAAACTCTGATAATGCATTTATAATACTTTTTTGCTCAGCAGAGTTCCAGATAAAAATGTTAATTGCAGTGCTAAATCTGTAGTGCGCCTATTTCAATGCCCTCAACTAGCTCTGCACCGCCTTGCCCCACCCCGCCCCACTCTGTGCGACTAGTACTTGCAATGCCTTGGCTCATTTGCAGTCTAGTTAAAAATAAAATCAAATGCCAAAGCGGCTGCATTGACAACATTGTCGATTTGGTCAGCAATCCCCTCGAAGTCTCCTATCTCCTCTCACACTCTCTCCCTCTCGCTGCGCGCTCCCCTTACCCATTTACCGACGGCATCGACTTACGTCGCGACGTCGACAATTATGCGGCATTTTCTTTGGCCGCAGGCAAGAAACGAGTTTGCGAGATATCTTTGTTTGCGCTGCAGTTGCAGTTGCAGTTGCAGTTGCAGTTGCTGCAGTTGTTGCTGCTGCTGCTGCAATTGCGGCGAACTACAACAAAATACCAGAAATAACTTGAAAATCCATTAAATCGCTGCAGCGCGACACTGCCATGGCATGGCTGGGCCTGGACTGGGCCTGGGCATGCCATGAACTCCTCCCCATTGGGATAGAGATAAACTTTTGTCAACTGGCCCCGATCGACGCGAAAACCTGCGCCGACAACTGATAACAATGTGTCAGCGATTCCCCGCTTCGAGTTGCGGCGCTGTCCTTGGCTTCCATTCTGTTGCCCAGCGATGACAATGCCAAAAATGGTCCGTCACGGCCTAACTGCATATTTTTTCGCCAAGTTTTTCAGCCTCATTGATTTTTCAGCGTATGTACGAAAAAGTGAAAGGCCAGCAGGTATACCCCATTGACTTGTCGAAATAACCAACGATGATAACCTGTTTCCATCACTAACAAAAAAGAAGGTAAATAATAAAAAAATATACGAAAAAAAAATATTTGCACAGAAATTACTTTATGAAAGTATTTTCTGCTAACCCAGTTGGGGGTGCTGCTGTTGGCCAAAAAGAAAATTTGCATTGGCAAACTTTTGCCGTAGTGCGAGCAAGTGCCCAGGGTTAAGGTTAAGGATGAACGTGAATAATTTCCATGATTGTATATTTATGTAGGGAAAAGTTTAAATTACTTTAAAGTACTTTCGAATGTATTATAAATAAAATGAATAAAAGAGTTAGCTGAGATTGGGAGAGACTTGAAAAAAAAAGTTTAATCTAGGAAAAATTTCTATGCATGCCAGAGCATGATATAATTAAATCAAAAGCAATTAAAATTTTATCTCAATTTTAGAATATTTAAAATCTCAAGAAAGAAAAAACTTAAAACTTTGCCATAATTTTATTATATTAACTTAAAGCAATTAAAATTTGATCTCATTTTTCTAATATTTAAAATCTCAATAAGAATAATTTTATTATTTTAACATAAAGTGAAATTACATATATAAACGATTCAATTCATTCATTTACTACAATAACAGGAATCTCTGGTATTCGCAGCAATCCAGTCCAGGTATCTGCTGACTCTTGTGTAGACCCCAGGAGCATTTGGCTTGGCACAGCCGTAGCCGAAGGAAACGACGCCAGCTAAACGGAAAATGCGATCCGGCACAATGAGTGGACCGCCGCTGTCGCCCTGCAAGGCAAGAGATTGAATGGAGATGGATGCAAGATAAAACGAAATTCAAGTCAAATCAGAAGCTAGGCCCTGTGGGTGCTTAGCTTTTCAGCCCACCTGGCAGGCATCCCGACCACCTGTCTGCACGTAGCCGGCACATAGCATCGTGTCCACGATCATGGTCTTGTAGGAGGTGGCCCGGCACTGGGCATTCGTTATGATGGGCACCGTCGTCTCCTGCAGCACACTCGAGGTGACGCCGCCCTCGTCGCTCAGCCCCCAGCCGGCGACAATGGCCTTTTGGTAGTCAAACGACTGAAATCGATTGGTGGGCAGGCAGACGGGTCGCATACGCTTCATCAGCGGCACGGGCTCGTCCAGGCGCAGCAGCGCAATGTCATGCACCAGGCTAACCGGATCATAGCCCGCATGGGCATGGGCAAATGCCACGGCGCGCGTTATGCCCGGATGCGTGGAGCTGCGATCCAGCTGGAGCAGGCGCACCGAGACGCCCGACATGTCCATCTCATGCACACAATGCGCAGCGGTCAGCACATAGCGATCGTTGATCAAAGTGCCGCCGCAGAAGAGCTGCGCACCGCGTATCATCTGAGCTATCCATGGATACTTGTTGGTGCGCACCTGAGTGCCGCCCACAATGCGATCGGCGTTGGGCACGCCGCAGGCTGCAAGCAATCGAAGCACACAGATAGAGGCAGGCACAGACCGACGCGATGCTCTCTCGGATACTCACTGCAATTGGCGCAACGATTGACGCGAATGGCCTTGGCATCGCTGTCAAATGGCGAGAGGCTGGCCGTCTGGCCACTGGGCAGGGCAGCGGCGGCGACCGAACTGGAGCCCAGCACATTTGACAAGATTTGTTGCTTTTGCTGCTCGATTAGATCATCGATGTAATCCCCTTGCGCGCCGGGCGGCGGTGCAGAGCTATTCCCCAGCAGAGCCGGCTGCCGAGCTGGCTTGTTATAGACGTAACCACGAAATGGTGGCTCATAGGCATAGCCAGAAGCCAAACCACAGAGGCAGCAGTAGCAGAGGCAGCAGAAGCTGAGCAGATAGAGAAAGATATTCGACTCGGATTTCATCTTGAGCACCGCACGAACCGCAGGCCCAAAGTCAACTGTTTGCAAATGTAGCCATCTTAACGGTTCTTATAGGCCATGGCCAGGCAGCACATACACATATATACATTTCGTATATATAAATATATCCGTTCATATTGATTCTTAATGATGCTGTCATTAATTTGCCAATCAATACTTTTTTTATCATCTATATTTTAGCATTTTTAGATCCACTCAAAACCCCTCGCACCTTACCTGACCCAATTAGCAGTGCCATAAAATCTTAAACCCATTTGTCAATTAAGCTGTTTACGATCTCAACAAAAAGCTATTGTTGACAGCTCCAAGTGGTTCGGTTCGGTCTCGGTTCATATCAAAAGTTTATGTTAATGGTATTTCTTTTACTACTTTCTATTCAAAACTCTTTCTTCGTCAGTTTTTATCGAAGAAATATGTTTGTTTCGCAAGATTTATAAGTTTATGGAGAATTCGTTTGAAATTCGCCTGACCCACTAAATAAACTTCATAATGAGCGTAAATCATTTCGATTACATTGACCCAAAAATGACAAAATTCTTGCAGCTAGAAACAAAGCAGCTAATAAAAAGGTTTTGCACATATGAAGCCTCAACAATTCGAGCTAAAATCAACAGCGGAGCTAAGCACAAAAACACAAAGGGGTTGGTTTTATTATAGTATTATATAAGTAGAGCAGAAGAAGATGAAGTCAGCTTAAGTATTAAAGTCAATCAATAGCAGTTTATATGAAGATGACTTATGAGAAGCAGCTTTGAGCGTACTCTAATAGGGCTTAGAGTTAATACTCAGGCTAGAGAAATTGTGATTGTAATATACATACATTACATACATTATACATTAAATAAATTATAACAATTATATATCATACTATATATTTTTACTAATCAAAAAAGATTATAGACATTCTGAGCATACACTTATATTTCAGAATTGTGGAATATATTTATATTATTTAAATTAATTTTATTAACTAAATACTTATCTAGAAAAAAGTGCGTAATTTGTCTCAGACATTCAAAAGAAGCCTCATAGGCAATATTAGAAGTATTAAAATATTTAGGAACTCGACATTAAATTTTGTTTTTTTTATATACATTATTAAAAAGAAACAGAAATTATAAATTATAAATGAATTTTTTTTTTTAATTACTAACTTGTATAAGTAAAAGAGTTTTACATTAAATTTTTATTTATTTGTATAAACTATAAATATAAATGTTAAAATAAAGCGAGATTAGAATTATGTTTTACAAAGTTTACTTTCCGCTGTATTCCGCTTTGTATTTTGATTTGTTTATTTTATTTTATTGTTAACTATTGCTTATTAAAATAGCATACTATAGATATTATTATTGCATCTTCTACTTCACAAAATTTAGTTTCAGCTTAATCTTATATTCAAGCAAGTCTTGTCTTATTGAAATTATGTACCGTGCATTTCATGTTATAAATATTGCATGATATACTTACATAAATTAATATTTATATTAAATTAAACCAGTTTAGAAGCTCACCTGCAAAATAAATAAGAAATACATAACTATTAATACCAGAAAGATTTTTTTTGTAATTGAGAAAATTAGTATTATATTAGTACATATATAATAATTGGGCATTCTAAAATAAAATGTTAAAAGACATCACCAATTTTCTGTTGGTAGACCTATTAGTCATCCAAAAATGAGTTCATGTTCCGTTGCTTTAATTATTTACTAAAATCAGTCTTGTTTCATATATTAGCCAGACTCATATTTATATTGATATTCCATATGGAATTACATTGAAGAA